TACACGAACCGCGGCCCTGTAAAAATCAAGAATATCAGTCTACCGGTATCACAACGATGCCCTGTTTCTTTATTTCACAAGATGACGTGGTTTTTGAGATGTATGCGAATATGTGGGTGGTGGTTTGAATGGCATTGTCCGAATTGTATTGAAACTGAATTCGTTGTCTGATATACCAGTGCACTTACTTGGCCTCACTGGAAATTNNNTTGCGCTCAATGAAACGCCACATTCAAGTATACTGTAAACCATTGAAAATAAGCGTATCGCTTCAAGTCTGCTTTCGTGAAGGTGCTTTGAATGATCGTTAAGTGGTGTAAATCATAAGAGGCACAAATGAATAAGGAAGCACTTCTAAATAACAGTTGACAATCATTCTCGAGTAGATCTTTTTAGTAGCTCTTTACTCTGGTCCCTCCGTGTACCTGTAACATGTTCTCTTGACATCTCTCCTTGCAGTTGTTGTTAAATATCATCCTCAGCTTTTTGCATACTTGTTCTGTTTGATTGACGAACGGTAGTGGATACTAAATTGAATGCTCGGGCATAAGGTTACTCGCATAAACTCGCGCATAGAAAGGGACATTGTCGAAAATGAGAATGATCTTTCTACTCTATATTGCAACGCGTTTTAAGGAAACTTTAGAAATTCGCTCGCATATGAAGTTCTTACTCAAGGATTCCATTGACTAAAACATACCGAAATATTGGGACTAGCTCCCCTAGATGAAGGACGTAGTCGAATACGCGGTCCTGACACATTTGACCACCAATGAGAATAAGGACACCAAATATTACAGTGAGTTTCTCTGTATTTTCTCTGTATTACCGTAATTTTGATACATTTATGCCGTGGCATCATGCGGACTCAGCTCGCTGACCTTATGGTCCACTTTCCAATAGAGGCTTGCTTCGCTCCGTTATCTTTACGACCGACAAACCTTTGCAAGTGTACCGAGTCTAGCTGTTTCCCACCAGCAGTCGTTGGGCTACAAAAAGGCTTTTAACTGACCGCCTGAAGAACAGCTTTGTTGTTTGCATCTGTATTCGTGATAACCAGTAAATCAATGAATAATAAGACAACAGCCGTAAGCAAAGGTTAAATAGCTACAGGAAGCATTGCAGTTAAATTTTGACATGGATTCATTCAAATATTCCCGAGATATATGGTACCTTGGGTCAAGGAGCCATAAATTCTGAAATAAACTTTGTTTTTATGCTTCTTTTCTTTATCCCATCATACTTCTACTCTTCAGGAACGGCTAAACACATAAATGTAAACGAACTTCTGGAGCAATGGACGAAGTTGGCAGATGTGAAAGAATTTCTGCTGAAACAAGAAGCGAGTCTTCTTGAGCGGTGAGTTTTCCGTTCACTGTAATTTTTTGTTGTGAAAAGGTAGCGCAAAGATTCAGCGATCATTTTTGCATGTAACCCACCCCCTAGATGTAGCGTACGCTACCACCGAAGCTTAAAAGTCACAACTGACAGTTCTGAATTTCTCACAGGTGATTGCATCCTTAGGTATGAACTGTAAGTGCTCTGGGGGTATTCTACCGGGGCGTTGAGTTCATATGCCAGTCAGTGCTGCTATTTGTCTTTATACGTTGGATGTATTACCAACTGTGTGAGGTGTGGCCTTTCCACCAAGCCGCAAGAAGGCATGCTGTCCGGATGTGTGGATTTTAATCCCACCTAGATCCGTGACCTTTGCACTTTAGCGTGGCGATTCGGTTGAAATCAATCAAATATTGAGACTATCTGAGGATGAACTGCCTTCAGAAATAGGTAAAACTGCAACAGATACACTAGTTCATTGTAGGAATTTTAAATATAACTGTTCTTCAAGGACTTTAAAGGAAAGGGTATAAAAATGACTCATCCACGAAATCAACATGCTCCTACATGCCACGTTGAAAATCAGTATATATATATATATATATATATATATATATCTGTTATGTAGCTTATATCCCTCACTTTCAATATCCAATCGTCGAGGTAAAACTTCTTGTATCCGGTTCGGTGTCTAGTAGGAGATTTTATGTTCACCCATTTCCCCTCGTCTTATGTCAGTTTGCGTCGTCAGGAGTTGGAGGAAAAACATGCAGATTTGGAACATGAACTCAGATTACTCCTTGCCAAACAGGGTGAGTTCTCACTGTATTTTTAGTTATAGTATCTCTTCCAATCAAATTTAGTCGAATGCAACAGGATTTCTTTTCTCTGGGGTGGAGTAGCCTAGTCTTTCGTTGCTAATATTGCATGCGACTTTTCATCCTACGTCGATATGATCTTGACTGCTCGGCTGTTTCACTAAATAGCATTTGAATATTTCATCCCAGCATGATACACGCATACCTCACTTTGTCAACCAGTTTCCTGTCCTTCTGGTTTTCATCATTTCCAAGCTCGCTGCAGTTTCATCTCACCTTTCCTGACATGGTATATTTCAAATTAGACATTCAGAATTAATCCTCGATCTTTTGTACATTTCTTTTCTCTCGGATTTCATAATGATGAATGATTGTTGTCTATCACGATAAAAATCCGTTGTCTTCTAGACACCGTAACACATGGTAGTCCTCATACACTGATTATTGTCACATGACAGTGATAGATGATATGAATCAATTTTGTAGTGAATTTCCTACATTCATGGAACATGCAGTTTCTTTTGTGGTTATTCCAACTGGGTCATAAATCCGGAGGCTAATACCAAGATGAGCTAGATGTGATATTCGTAACACGCTTGTGAAAGATGAATTCCGCTATATCATGTATTGGTATAATGAAAATCACTTCCACCGGATATCCGACAGTCAGGTAGGTAGTATGCTTGCGTTCCACTTGTGAAGTCCCTAGTTCGATCCTTAGTTGGGCCGATGTATTGGGGCCGTAAAAGGCTATGTGCATCATGAAATCCATTATCTACCGACTGTTTTGTTGAGCACCTAAGACGTCCAGTCGTCCAGTCGCGTAAATTGAATCATCTCCGGACTCGAAACTGGATAGTCTCTACTTTGCCTATCAGTCTTTTTTTTGTTGCTTCATGTACTTAATTTCCAGTTGTTTTAAGTTGGCTGTATGCCCTAATCGGTTAATTTTAAGCCGTGTTCCTCCAATATTTATTAGAGATTCAGTTGCAGAAATCATTAATCAACGCATCGTTTCATGCGTGAAGTTTGTTCAGAGAATTCTTGAGAAGTACAATGACTTGTTTTTTTTCCGTTGCCGCATCTACCCACTGCTTGTAGCTAATACCTGAACTTACTTTCAATTTCTATTCAAAAAAAGAATCGTCATAATTTACAAAACTCACTGTGACTGTGTCTGGTTGCACGCGCATAAATGATCTCAATCACTATTTCGAGTATTTTTATTCACAATCGCTTGAGACGATACTGTCATCATTCCATGATGCGACGAAAATAAAGCAGTTTCGTGCCCTATGTGAGATAAACATTTGCATTGTAATCTACTGTGCTTCGTGCTGCTATTCTGTCAATTATCAACGGATCAGCTAATTGATGGATGAATGCATAAGCGGTGAGCATAGAGTGATACAAATGTGTATGACACCGTGGGTAGAATTCCTAAATCTGTTTGCTCAGTTTGCAGATGAACTCATCAGCCCATCAACTAGGTGCTTGATTGGTTGACTGTTCTCAACGACTCAGTTGTTTGCTTCGGCAATACAATGGTTGATACGTTCGTTGTTACCTTGGCAGTTTCACGATCAACCTGATGCTTTATTCAATTTGACTTCGTCAACTCAAAATTGATTTTGTTTGTTCCATTATTGGACTTAATCCAAACGTAGTATTTTAACATGACCATTGGCAAATTAATGACATAGGTAAACAAATGCAAAATTCCACAGAACGCAAAGTTCCCTCGTACTTCGCCGCTTGCTTTGAACCGAAAGCGATTGCCTACATAATTTGACATTGCAACATTCAATGGAGTAACGAAAAAGAAGCATCAACATTTCACATGAAGAACAATACTAAATATGAATTCATCTACTCGCTACCGAACAACAATTTCTCATTAGGATACTTAGATTTAGCATTAGATTCGGTTCAGAAGGTGATGAATGAGAGATGGTAAATTGAGGATGCGCCGTAGTTAATATAAACGGTCAAATTATATGCTGCTTGTGAAGCGACTCATGTGTTGGATTGAGGCAGAGGGTTCGCATCGGATTAAAGACTGCCAAACAAGAAGTTCGATGTTGAATGACCTGCCTCGAGAAGTATCGCACGTTGCGGAAGCCTGTCCGATGACGTGCGCAACATATTACCCAGACACTGATTCATGGTCGTCATGTTCTGGGATCAGTGACTGGCCAAACCCACTTAAAACTCTGCATTTAAGGTTGCTTTTACTTATCCCACTGTCCAGCTGAAAAATCGAGCAATGTCGCACAGATAGCGATGTTTAAACGCCAATTTCTGAGAAACGCTGGCGACAAAAACATATTGAGATTAAAATGTAAAGTTTAATTTACAAGCTGTACAATATGATATCAAATGATGATGAAATGTTTATTTGTTTCATACGAACCATCCAAATTGGTGATTCATGAATTTCGGTTGTGCCTGTAATCTGATGAGGGGGCTTTATTTCCTCGAATGGATTCTTCTTAACGCGTTCACTTTCCATCACATATTCACTGTTTTCCTATAATTTTGGAACTCAGACTGAAGATCTTCATATATTATACTACTGGAAAAAAACGGGCTCTTTTCGGTAGATAACTCAGACAAGGGGAGTAGCAAGCATTAATCGCTTGAATCTGTTCTAATCTAATCACATCCACTTACTGTTTCCTTTTTTCTTTCCACTTCGATTTTGGCATTGTATCATAGAAACAAAATTGTTCAATATGTTTTGTACGTTCTCATTTACCGACCAACAAACCGCATTGTTTTTCACAATCAAAATGATCGTTTGGTCGTGTGCCAAACAGTCCTATACGAAATGCACACACACACATCTATCTTGCGATTCGCGCCGATTTTGATGCGTGGGATGCTGCACGAAAGTTCTCAATAATTGTGAATCGTATCTACGTTAGTCTAGGATTTGTACAACTTACCTTGCGTTCCTCGTTTTATTCGTTTACGTAGCTGGCCTTTGTAGAGGGATCGCTGGACTATCGATTATAGTTAGCTTAGCTGAGATCTTTCGTATGTTGACATATCGGTGCCACATTTCGAACTAATTATAACTATCCAATCATTCGAAAATCGTTCGCTGGAATCTAGTTTTCACAGCGTCTATATAGCCGCAAGTAGATTGTTAACATATCACCATAGAATGTACGTTTTGTGTCATAAGTTATTCGCATAACCTGCAATTAATGTACACATAAAATTCGTCTTACTATTGCATTCATTAGTTAAATACCGTTTTTTGGGATAATTGATTTAATTTTTAACAGCTGTTTTGACCACTAACTCTCTAAAGTTTCACCTTCACAGTTGTCACACTATCACCTGAGTTTCAATGAAAATTTTACCGTTCGTAAAACAAACATTTGTTGATTTAGCCTCATAAAGCCCATCTGCAATGAACTATAAGAACTGGGTCGTATTCCCCCTCCCCCTCCTCAGCTACGTCCACTGTTTTTTTCATTCAGTGCGGATTTAATTAGGATCGCAGATATCGTTTATCAGTTTCCCATACTTAGTGGGACTAATGCATTTATGATTTTTGTCGTTGTCACACGTGTTCACTCTCTTGGTGACGTCCGCATAGCATCACTCAAGCTTTGACGTCGTTTTCCAAAAATAACTCGTGTTACACCAGGGGTTTAAAGTTGTAACAATTTTTGATCTCTCCGTACGTTGGAACTTATTATTATTATATTATTCAACAAGTAACCAATTACAGAGAACTGACAAATGTGCCACAGCATATGAACAGAAAGAAATTTAAAGAATGTGTTCATGGGTTGTGTGGGTGTGTTACTTCCCGGTTGCCCTGGTCGAGGAAGAGGGATAGCCTCGGGGTCTCCACCCGAAGCCTTTGGCTAGAAAGCCAAACCTGCAAGACAGCAGAACGGAGGTCAGAGTCCGCAGTCCATTGGGGGCCGGTGTCCAGTTCACTGGATCATACGCCCTTTGGACGGGTCAAACGTCTAGAGTGCCCAATACACCTCGATGCACAACCAGTGAACCATTGAACCAGTGACCACTACCATGACCAGGAAGATGTGCGTGTGGTTCTTACGCCTCTTCTTGGTTGGTCTGGGGTTTGTAGCCAACTCCCTTAGGTGAACTGCTAGTGGTTCACCAACCCGGTTATATCCCCGAATGTGGGCTTTTCATCCTCTTACTTTGGTGGGAAAACGCCTCCGCCACCAGACGGCAGTGAGTAGGGTTCCTCAACAGAGGCTAGTTGAGACGCTAGGTCATATAGGAGCATTTCGCTAGGTGTAAGGAAATGGTGATCAGTCACAATCCCAGACACCCACCATACTGAGGCTTTCGAAGGTTTGGAACTTGTTGAATGCAGTTTATGAAATCGCACTTTTATGGTGCTCATGTAACTCCAGTTATCCTATGGTCATCTGGATGGCCCAATGGACCTCGCCAGTTCCGTATATAGTATGTACGATTTTACTGCATTTCCTGCTGAAACTTCCAGTGACGTGTTTTCCAGTTATTTCACAAAATGAGCTAGACCTAGAATGGCGGATTTTAGGCATTTTGTCAATGTGATTTACTCCTTTGTGGTCCGAGGTCGATACGCAAATTGCCACTGTCGATAATGTTTTCCACAACACATTTCAGATGCATTAAAAACAACTGAAGAAAAGGCCCGGGAGGAGAAACTACTCTATGATTTGGTGACCACAGTAGAAAAACGAGCAGAATTGGTGGATCATTTAACAGAAGCGTGAGTTCCTTTTCAAACATCCCAATTTTCGGGGGTTTGAGAACTCTCAACATTTATTTGTGTTGTCACAAGCGACTTTTACCCATGAATTATTTACGCTCTAGGGTTAACCTCTAGTTTTCACAAGGTATGCATAATGCCACGTAACGATTTACTGTGTTCTGCTTGGCTGTGCTTCAGCCAAGCAATTACATTTGTGGTGAAATATTCGAACCGTGAAATCATCAGTGTACTAAAAGGTTCACCTCAGTCATCGAATTTTTCCGTGGGACGCGGGGCCTTTGAATTTGGCCGCGCCATTTATCTCGAAAGTGATATTTACACTTTTGTGGATTTATTGGTCATCAAATCGCATTGTTATCAATTTCAAGGACACCAAATGCTATCCTACACAAGCATGTTCATAAAATCGTTATTTGTTATCTCGTGAAGTGCGCCTTTTGAGAAGATTGCTGAAAATACACCCATCCGGGTGTATAAAGCTACTACTGACGACTTATTCAATGTTCAAAATGTAGAACCATTGTGTAAAGAGAGATGATAGAAAGAATATCTTATGAACTCACCTCCCTTGAATCATCTCTTTCCCGTGCATCGATAAGTTGAGCTCACCGGAGTTGAACGATATTAACTGCTCAAAAGTTGCATATATATATATACATTTCACACGTCCTATTCCTCTTTTTCGCTTTAGGTTTACATCATAAACCCGTCTAATACACTAAATGTTGCCAAAATTGCTGCTTCAAATAATATCGTACTGATATGACCTAAAATGGCCTTGTACTCAGTACAGATCCACTTTTGCACTTTTGTTCTGTTTCCTGTCCGATACCGATCTCTTGTACACACAAGATTGTGCTTGACTCGTGCTTCAGCTTCTATCACGTTCACATGGCACAGCCCTACTCTGACGGTCACCGTTCCCTGTTCACGGAAGGGAAAATATTTTGCCGGTTATCATTCAACAATAATTTATGCAGTTTTATGTGCACTTCAAATACCAAGGTTTTTGTCTTTATTCCTAATTGGCACTAGGGCATGAATAAATAATTGATCGATCCAAGTGAATTACTCACGCCCAGTAGAAATAAACTCGCTAACGATGCATTGGTTTAGTTGAGATCGATACACCCACCTGCGTCCTGTTCTTCTGTGGACACAACACAAGCTGCTGGTGAAATACTTGCAAATATGCATCCACACTTTCATGGAAACCATTCTCAAGCACACTGTATTCTACACGGTAAGCATAAACGTCCGTCGGATAGATATCGATTCTATTGGCAACCGTAGGCAGTGTAACAATCCAGACACTTAGGATTGGTCATTATTTATTTTGAGTATTTGCTAAGATTGCCAGAACTGTGGAACAGTTTTCGACGAAATTGCTCCTCGATCGAATGTGTCGACGAATAATCTAATGAGTAACAGGCAAGCTCTCCATCGTGGTTTGTCTTCCTTCATTGGAGAGATTATCTCAGGAATAATTTGCAACTTCAAAATCATGCACCCATTGCATGGTCTAATGATTGATCTCCATCATATCTCACACGCGTCTGAGTCCAGACTGTGGGCCATACATATCACAGCAGAATAATCATAAAAAGGGAAGGTTCCATGATTTATTTGTGGGTACAACACTGCTAGGTTGCCCAGGCCAAGACAGGTGAATTTTCTTGAGGAATCCACAGCTGGAGCCTTCGGCTAGCCAACGCCTGACTGGCAAGGCAGTGGGTCGGTGTGCGTGAACCGCAATCCATTGGGAGCCGGTGTCCATGTTATCGGATCATACGCCCTTCGAACGGGGTCAAATGTCCAAGGTGCTCAATACACCCCGATACCCAAGCGAGCAGGTGACCACTTCAACAACCTGGAAGGTATGGGTGTTTTCGGTTTGTACGCCTCTTCTTGGAATCAGTGTTTGTAGCCAATTCCTGAAGGTAAACTGCCAGTGGTTCGCAAACCCGGTTATCGCCTGGGATGTCGGATTTTCGTCCTCGCTTCGATGGGAAAACATCTCCGCCACCGGAAGATAGTGACTAGGGCTTCCTAAACAGAGGCTTGGTCATATGGGAGCATTTTGCGGTGTAAGGGAAGGGTCACCAGCTACAACCCAAGACACCCACCTTCCGACCATGCTGAGGCTGATTGATGTTCAAGGCGTATACGAGACGCAAATTCAATATCCAAGTCAACGAAGCGCTATATTCATTCCTGTGGACTTCAAGAATCTCGTCCAACCGATCATTGTGGTGTTGGTTTTATACTAAAAGATTCCCATCAGCATGTGTTTGCCTACCATGCTTCTCCATGGTTCCGTCAGCATTCGAGTAGGAAAACCCAAATTGTTTTAGTTCATCATCTCGGCATATGCACGGACTCACTCGCAGTCCCAAATCATAAATATATTAGTTCTATGACAAACTTACTAGACTCGTTTGTATGATCCACAGCTCTAATAAAGTTGTCCGAGTAAACGCGTTACTTAAAAAACGGAGTATATCATAAGCATGGCTATACTGCAATTTACCCTCCCCTCTTAGCGAACGGATAACAGTGGTCGTTTACTTTATGACGTAAATGATTCTGTGATAAGCTGTAAATAGCACTGAACAACTGTTTCGTTCCTGCTGGGACTCGTCAGCATTGTGTACTTTTCTTTTTGGGACTCAATCCGTGAAACTCGGGCTGAGAGTTGAAAATATTACCCGGAGGAATGCGGTCGGCGACCGAAAAATTCAAAGATCTCTTACAGCTATTAATAATGTGTTATTTACATCAGTCTATTAGATTTTTCACAGGCGTTTGGTATGGTCTTCTTATCCCAATGCAAGCCAGTGTGAAACGCATATGAATTCACTCGGTTTTTAAAGCCACTCGCTGTTTTTCTCTTTGTGGAGATTCGTAGTGTTCTAGCGGGCTTGGTAATGGTACCAGTTGAGATGCTGCGGAAGTTTCCACTACATAACGTGTACGGTATTGTCGTGGAGGTTGTACGTATTAGATCTCGCATATTGAATAGGTTGGTGAGGTTTATTGAGCCAAAACTATCCTTAATCAGTGATGCCACAAGCCGCTAAGATTTCTAAAAGTCCAACTTAGTATACTGCGCCAATATAGGGTATTTCCAACTACACGTAGCAACGACCTCCACACGCCTTCTGTTCGTTTCATTTTGCCACTGGTCCTTATCTTTTCTACTCCATCGGGATATAATCTGGGTTTTTGCTGACTTGTATATCGGTTGATTCAACCTGATCGTCCTGTGGCGTGCCGCCCGCTGACTCATCGTCACATGTCATTCTATGTGCTGTGTTTACCAGGGCGTTCATTGTTACAACAGATCGGCAGACTTCACTATGCCGTATCGATCCAAACGAAGTTTCGCTGCTGTTTTCCTTCGAATGTCGAATTAGAGGCATTTGGGATGGGAGTTGGACATATCGATCGATATGACCTGTGGTACCAATTGTCAGTTATTTGCCTGACCTGCTTCAAAGTGAACCATGTGTAATGTCATCCGTCTTTGATTACTTGACACAACATAATTGTGAATAATTGATTCCCTACGGTTGGTTTCAGTCGAATATGGAGCTGATTTGCTATTGTTTTCTGATGTGTGATTGATCGCTGGCGTAATTGCAACCCTAAACATGGTCACGAATGCTAAGCAATGGCAGCTTTTCAGTTATTATAGTCATGATGTATGCCGCTTGATCATAGGGTTTATCATGTCACCGTTAGTTAATTTTTTCTTGAATTCCGGTGCTACACTGATGATTGTCGCTATTGATTATTGAGCGCATGCTAAGGCCGTTTATTATCTAGGATAGTGAAGGCTTCCTGTGACGCATTTGGTCGTTTGATTTGTAGGATCTTCATCCATCTACGTTCCTTCTTACATTCACTCCATATTTTTTGAATGTAGAAACCGGTTTTTACGTGGATATTCCACGCCACTCCATTTGTGCATGGCACGTTTTTCGACTGATTACCCGTTGTTTTAGTAACTGTTCAGAGTAATCATTGTCCCTATTTTAGATGTCTTCTTAGTTGCAGTCTGTACAGCTGTGAATTTCGTAGTTGAAACCTAATAAGTGGCGATTCATCGCAAAATCGTACTGATCTAATAACGAATCTACTCATACGTTTTTAATTGTCTAAACAGTCCCACAGAGCACATTTTCAAATAGAACAAAGAGTGGCGAACAAGCTCGTTTTCAGTGATTCGTAGTCATGCCAAACACATCACAATAAATATATTACGCTGTTTATATGTAAATCAGTATTCAATCATACGTTTTTCCCTGATCCTAATTTCGTCACACTGTTGATGCTTAATGGTACGTGAATTAGCGTTAGGATATCCGCCAACGTTGGAAAGACTGCTTAACGATGACTGAAAGGAACCGACCAGAGTTTTTCGATGCAACTTGGATCTTCATTGATAGCTTTAAGTTTCGTTGGATGATCTTTGAGGTACTCAGTTTAGGTAATGGCTACAAATCCCTCGAATTGTGGTGATTCCAAGGTTTTCTGTCGGTATAAATATCTGTTTGTGGCGAACTAGCTTCCTCAAGTTGGTTAACTTGTCATGATTGAGACAAACAATTGTATTCTCCAGCGTAACAGAGCACTACTCCACTCTACAACTTATCAAAAGCCCGCTTTAAGTCTACCGTTGGTCCATTAATTTTCGAATTCAGAATGAAGAGTCTCCAAGACCGAGGAGGGTCTTGGAGATGATCTGTGTATCTAATAAATTGGGCAAATCATCAAAGTGATTTGGTAATTGGCTGTTTATCAGACAACTTTTTATTAAGTCCTGTGTTTGATATAATTTTTCACGTCAGTCACTCACAGATCAATAAACTGACTTTTCATTCTTAATCTTCATCTGTTTGGGTTTCTTCTTAACGCGACCCACTGAATACCGCAATCTAACTCCGTTCCCACCAATCACACACCATGATTTTCAGCGAGACCAATACGGAATCTTCATCAAAGAGCAAACCGGCGCGACGTAAGTCATGAACTCACCAACCTTTATACGTTTTCGGTTGATAAGAAATAAAAACAAAGCGATGCGTTTCAACCTTAGGTTTCTTCAGATTACTTATATACATGGCCTAATTCAAGCATTTGTAAATGTATTCAATATAAGTGGGACCCAGCTCAAACACGTTCAGCAATTCTCCACTTATTGCGAGAAGTGATGAGTGTTACAGTCAGGCTAGTTTAGATTGGTTTACATATCTAACAACCCTGCGCATGCATTTACTTGTCAGTTTGACGCACGAAAGAAACATCTGAAGGCTATAACCAATTTTCTCATGAAGTCCATTTACTCCTACACGGAAGAGTTTCTTCAATGCAGCAAGCTTAAAGATGAAGGATAATCCACGATACTCGATCCCAGATTTTTATTTTCCTGAGGTCAACAAACTAATTCCAATACCAGAATTCGCAATAGTCTGTGACTTTTGGAGGAAACATAAAATTGGCATGTAAGAGAGTCGATACCTAGAAGCAGCCAGACCATCTTCCACGACAAAGATTCTGTGTTTCATGCAATCTACATTCTTGGGGTTATTTTTCCTTGACACACCCGATAGTTAAATTCGGAACATGGCGCTCAACTGACTACAGGTGCAATATTATATATATACTGTTGTTATGTTTGTTAGTAAATAGCGACACCATGGCAAATAGATCAAGTATGCAAAGTAGGATCTAATTATACGGCAGTCAGAACACATTAGTTGGTGATATTTTAGTGCTTTTGAGCACCGTTTCGGTGATTGGATTTTTGTTATGCACAAACCCACTGCACACTTCCCTTGTGGGGTAATCACGTGATTGACTGCTACCATTTTAATGCGTATTCCGGTCATGCAAGTAGTTTGACTCTGTGCAAACAGTTTGTACTTTTGAATATCTGTACGATTCGCCTTTGTCCCTGCTACTCATAGGCTGATTTCTGACGTTTCAATAATTATTGGGGCCGAAAATCGCAATTCAAGGATAACGTTATATAAGAAACCTCACCTTGCAAAATCCACATTTTGATTCTGCTCGCAAACCCGTATCGGCAGTAATTTCTGTTGGTAGGCATCCGGAGACCGCCTCGTGAAACTACCGGTCGATTCCAGTAACTTGAATTCCTGAGATAAGTTTTAAGGAACTGCAGGTGTCTAATCATGGCAAACACGCTAACACCAGGCCTTGCGCTAACTCCTTCACCGCTATTTAACACTCGAGAAAATGTGAACGATAGACAGAAAGCGATATCACATCAATTTCCTTTAAGTTTATTTTTCAAAAAACAAGTCATGACTGGTCGTCGAGATATGCAGTTTTGCTGCTGTTCATACAGGCGCTAATAGTAACTCCATCGTTGCTTAAATCTGCACCAAAGCCCATTTAGAAGATTCCGTTTTCGCCTAGGCTGACACAATTTGTCTTACAACCTATGGCTGCTTCTTTTGGGTTACGATGCGCACTGAATCAACAGGTATATACATCTATATTGATTTCAGCGCTATCCTGCTTGCGTGTGATGAGGATTGGGAAAAAATCGAAGACATTTACGAAACGTTTCAGCCTCCACAAGAAAACGCCTCGAGCCAAGACGTTCTCTCCCACCAAATCGTGTTTAGGAAACCAAAGCCACGACGACTGAGAGCCAATCTACCTTCGGTTTTGGCACAGCAATCCGAACGCAGAACTTTTTCCAGACACACTCGTTCACAGTTGCTTCCACAAACTTTCTGCCCCATCTCGTCAATATTTCTTGTTTCCTTTTTTGATTTCATTTTTGCCTAATTTTATGAGCTCTACAAATGCATGCTTTATCATTGGTAAACTGCATACGTTTCTGTTCTGTCCAAATGAAAGAAAACAGAAAAAAATCTGTATGGATCAGAACTGCCCCGCTTTCCTTTTCATTGTTTGTTCAATAAGCATGCGAAATACAAGGAAAGAACCATGTGTGAGACAATTTGCAACAGCGCGGTAGAATTGAATGGATGCAGACGCATCGAACGGATGATAAACAATACGCGCCAGAGAACCCAGGCGCGCGCACATATCGGATCACCGGAAGGTCGCTGCCAAATGCGCTGGGTTATTGCGTTTTCCCGAGGGATTGAATATTCCCTGAAGCGTGTTCATGGGCCACTGGTTGCAGACGACCGAGCATGTGTGAGTGTGAATGGGTATGCGTACGCGTGAACCAGAATTCCCACTCCACAAGTGGGCGATGCGGAACAAAACTAGGCAATACCGTTCGTTACCAACGGGCCGGTCTGTGATCCACTGACGGAACCAGTAACGGGCGCTCCGTGCCCCGTGGTTGCGGCCGTCGCCGGACACATCTCTGGCTGAGAGGCTGGTGGGGAATGATGTGCAGGTTGATTTTGGTGGCAATGGCTACCGCCCGCCACACCGATCAATGGGAACTGAATACCGTGACAACAAGTTGTGGGCGCACCACGCGGATGACGATGGGCACATGGCAATGTGTGACGCGAGGAACTGGACCCAGAACCTGCTGCCGAAGCTGCAATAGTGGTCTCCGATGTTTGACAGCCTACAGGTCCTTGAGAAGCNGAGAAGCTATAGTGCGAATAGGTTCATAAGAAATTAACCGAAAACGTGATGATGAAGGCAAGGAGGGTTTATAGAATGTCGAAAAACGGAAATATAGGCAAACTTGAGTATGATAAGTATGCATGCACGAATAAGAATCTAAATTCACACCGGAAGCTGCACTAACTTATAACACCGAGCTTTTGTAAAAAAAATGACGTTTCGTAGTTCTGATGCAAAAAGTATCAGGTGTTTAGTTGAAAAAAGGATTGAAATTCAACATCAAGCGGGAAACAGTATCTTTCGGAGATAATCTCTTTCAGTAGACTTATTCATAAGTGCTTCTAAGTTAGAACAAGAAAAGCTTTCTCAACCCAGATAGTAGGGCTTTGAACGTGATTCCCATAAAACTGGAATGGAAGGAAAGGGAAATATAAAATTTTAGTAGCCAGACGACCACTCACTGGATACCGAGTATTCGGTAGCCGCTTACTCTATCTCTGATGGGTGAACAAGTGGCTAAAATATACGCAAAGTACAGAAGTGTTTCTTCCGACGATTGATGATCGAGAGGGTGGGAGTTAAGGCTGGGATCGAGTGTTGCTAGTGGACACAGACTGCAAAAAACGGCTGATGATGAGACCAGCAAGGGGACCACGTGGTACGGTAAAGGGTCAGGTTAGAGACCAGAAATCAGAAGGAGCGACGCAATAAAAGAAGCATTCAGAAATAAATTGGGAACTCAAAAATATCTGTTTGAATGGGAGAGGAATTGAGGACGGTGACATTCTTGGACTGGTCGGGTTGTGTTGCGGGGGCAACTTTTCATCTTATGTTCTGTCTACTTGTAAAGATTTTAGTAGTCCAACGCTGCTAACCATGAAGGAACAGCAGTCAGTTCGTGACCGCAACTGTGTACAAATTACTTATTAGGTAGCTCACCTAGTATAGGCTTATTCTCGTGATTACTGGACAATTTGATTTCTCCAGGGGGCGCATGAGACGTGGCCTCGTTAGACGGTGCAGCCGGAGTTTCTGGCTGGGTTGTAGGGGACACCGGGTCAGTTGTATTAGATTCAGTAGGTGCAAGCGTGGCGCTTGTCGGCGGTTGTGAGGATTGTGTCCCCGGTGCACCAGTTCCGAGGTCCCATGCAGCTGTAGAAGCCGGTGGACACAACCAAGGAAATTCAACACAAGGAGGTAGAAGGGGGCCTCCAGATGACACGAGGCATCGGCAAGGTTGTCGACTGCGCCAACGACAATCGTAGGATATGAGCTCCTCGATGGAACGACCGTCCGGAGGAAGGTTGAATCTGGCCTGAAGGAACGCCGGCCACGGGATGCTATGCTAGAAAACCGTCATGAGCACCAATGACAGAAAATTTTAACAACTGAATGAAAAATGAGTTGAGCATGGTAAATGAATGAAATTTTTCACAAACGTCACAGTAACGATATCTAGAGAGCGAATCGCGGAAACATAAGCTTGCTGAGTGGAACTCTAACAAATGTGAAAATGTCTGTGCTTTCAGAATGCCAACAATTTAACTATAGTTGCAGCGAACTACTTGGTGGAAACAAAAAGTTACCATACTAATATTAATGGGTACATAAGAGCCTTATAGGAACTAGCAATAAATAAATTCGCTGAAGCTGTTAGTTTGATCGTTCCGGTACCTATGCTGAGTGCATTCCATTGCGCCTTTTCGCCGAGCTTGGAAATCGGTTTGAAAAAGTTTCATCATCAGTGCTTGCGAAGTGGCCTGAGTGTGTAGGGACAGCCCACAACATCCTAAGAAAAATGGCTAGAGGATGCAACAGAAAGTGCAAGCTGTGTAAAAGATTATTTCAATCATCAGTTGATTATACAAGTTCATCCAAATTCCAGTTGTGTGACCTCACTTTATTAAAAAATTATCTTTACTTTACTTGTGTGGTATGAGCCACGAGACGATTGGGACCTAGATTATAGCAACCAATGCTTGGGCATAACATAGAGAGGGAAATCCAGACGCCTTATACATGATTGAGAAAGATGTATAGATTTTTGTCACGTGGTTTCCGTCTCACGGATAAAAGACTACTACTTTACTATCAGAATGCGGTGATTGGGGATACCAGAAGAGAATGCGTGGTATAGGTAATTTAATGTTGACGAGACCAGTGACTGGAGCACTTCGGTATCCATAACCAAAGTTACCAGGAACCTAACGGATCGGAAGAAAACTACTGCAAGGGAGCGAGTTCGCCTACCCGTAAATGCAAATCCAGCAGTATTTCAGGCGAGATCTTTGCTTCCCGTGCGAGCCACTCCCGGCAGTGATAGCACGGTGAGATCAGGTAAGCTGGTAGGTCAACACGGTGCAAATATTCGTGCGTGTCACACAACGCACAATAGGCGTTGCGTGGAGCCAAAGCACCCACGTCTAAAAATAACGCGTTTGTAGATCCGGGGAACATATCCGCACGGGTTCGACCGGTGCCCGGTGCGGACTCTTTGTGTCCGTCCGACTCCACCGGTGCATTGGGAGGAACTCGCGGAGGAGTAGCAACTAAAAAACAGACAAGGTAAACGCTGAAGATGTAAACATGAGCAAGGTAAAACTAGAGAATATGACACACGCAGCACACTATTCGCTCCTCAACAATGAGAACTGTTTGATTGATCTAGATAAAAAAAAATTATGCGAATATCTAATCACTTGGCACCAATTATGAGCTTCATTTGGGGGACATATGGTTACGAAAATATTGAGATTGCAATTGTGCAACGCGATGATCAAACTGATTAATATATATCTTTGTGCGAACGGAACATGAGCGATGTGCGGAAGGCTGGGGACGCTGGAATTTCGGTCACTGGATCGGTTGTGAGGAGTACGAACTAAGAAAGATGCCAATTATTTCAGTTACAATCCAAGGACGGAGCCCTCTAGACGAAAACATATGATCATCAGTGTTCGAATGAGTTGGTAACACCAATCTCAGCCATAGATTTCAAAAGGAAGGGCGCAACAACCCACGATATTCCCGCAGACCATGATCTAAAGTGGTCTGGCAGATCACCGAGGTGAGCCGTATTCAATACTCCCGGAAATTTGGAAAGAGGAATGCCTTGGATGCCTCATCTGGACAGAAGAAAAAGGACCATGCTCACGAAAAGGTTTCAGAAAACAGCACTGGTAAACTGATCACAGATTATGAATTGTTATTACCGCATGTAAAAGAGTTACAACGATGGTGACATTATCACATAGCACACAACTGGTGATTCATGGCACCTGGCAAACTGAGACCTGATGTTGCGCACGATGTAAAGACTCAGTTGCATACGCGTCGCACTGAGCCTGACGACAGCTAATTTGGATGGTGATGGTAGGGTTCGAATCCTGAATTTAGGACACAAAACAAGACAATGATAGCGAGCAAAGCCAAGTGATGACTATCGAAAAGAGTGTAAGATGAAACACTCACATTCGGACAGTTCTGCTAACGAAATGAGTTTATAGCCTCACTCACGGTGTGAACACACGTGCGTGTATAAATACACGCACGAATTTACCGTTTGACTACTCTGAAGAGCAGAGATGAGTGATAGCAAACGCATCGCTAGGTAACTAAAGGGGTAATGGTTAATTGTGAATAAGGTGGTCATGGCCCCACTGGATCAGCGGTAGAGTTTGAATTTGTGATGCATTTACCACCTGACAATGTTTTTTGCAGAAGTGACCATGTATTTGGTGACACCATTGACGTGATAAACAGTTGCATAAAACAATCAAACGGGATGATTGTGCAGATAGTCTTTGTTCATGGTCTAGTTTGAAACGGGATCGATTTGACAAGTACCGAGTGGAAAATCGAGCAAGGTAAGGATCGGATTTTTTCATCGGTCCAGTTGAAAGACAGCTAAAATTTAACCACCATTAAACTGATTCTGCTTCCCATTTTTGACCTGGATGTTGAACCACAGAAAACGGAATGAGTAAAGCAGTGTGCCATTCTCGATCACTTGGTTTAACATCACTAACCGTGACGAGAAGCTATGAAACCCAGTGTCCTGTTTAGCCCCGTCCATTTTTCAGGGTTTTATACCGTCAGCCAAGTTATGGAGTGAAGTCACCTTCTGAGCATTATAAACTTCAATGCGTAACATACATCAGGAAGCAACGTGAGGAGAACGAGCGTCCGCTTTCCTATTCAAAATCACGAACCGAGTAGGAATGGGTGTGTCCGGCGATTCGCACGTGTCTGTGGAGAACAATGGTGACTTGAACAACCAACGATTCGAAAAGATCGATGAGTTATGCGAACAGGCCGTGTGCGACGACGCACCGTCCTTTGCAGACAAGTAAATGAATGACCCGGGCGTGCTGTTTATGTTAGCACGGATGACAGTGATAGCTCTAAAACGGCGCGTGAAAATCGAGTCACACACATACAGAAAACAAAGAGATAGGACAACGAAAAACAGAAAGAGTGGAACCACGTGCTTGTGTTTTCGTATGTTTTTTACGAGCAGAAGTTCCACAGAAAATACAAAAGCACTACTCACCTCTGCCTGGTTGATTCTGAATGCGCTGATGTTCTTGCAGTTGAGCGACGTGATCTGCACAAGCCGGGACATCTTCGGATGCACCCGGGCGGACATCGTTCTCAAATCCGTCGTG